AAAAAAAAAAAAAAATAGTAATCAACAATTATGTTGAAAGTCTAAGTATATACGATATTAAAATGATGAACCAACGAGTCACTTGTTTAACTTTCGTGTAAATTATTAGATTACAGTAATGAAAATATTTATAATATGTATTGTTACAAATTATGATAAACAAATGACTCATTTAACTGTCGTGTAAATTATTAGATTACAGTAATCAAAATATTTATAATATGTATTGTTACAAATTATGATACACAAATGACTCATTTGTCGAGCTACTGTGTACATTATAAGCTTAGAGATAAAATTAAAAGTATTTATTATATATATTATGATGACAAACCAACTGATCATGTGACGGACTTTACATATAACTTATTAATTTAGAATAAAAATCAACATATTTATAATATACATTGTTATGAATTATAGGGATAAACCAGTAAGTCATCTATAGAATAACAATGTAAATTGTTAGCTTAATATTGAACCCAGAATATGTCGATCTTGATTAGGCTTACTAAACAACAATGACGTGTTAGACAAGTTCACATCGACTTAAAAAAATTAAAATACTTATAATGTATATGTTTATAAATAAAAATTGATAAATCAATCGGTGTTGAACAACTATATAAATTATTAGATTAGATATAAAATTTAAAATATTTATAATATACTTTATTATAGTTTATAAATAATATTAAACTAATTTTAACAGAATTGAAAAATAGTAAAATTTTATAACTTTAAAACAATATACACTACATTATTTTTAATTAAGCATCGATTTATAGTATTCGCCACAAATTTTTAATTTTACCATCACTTATTTAAGAATCATAATAATATATTGCAATAATGTATGAGTAAAGGGTGAGAGAGATAGATATTATGACGAGTATTATTTATTGACAATGTTTGAATATGTTGAATTTTCATGTTCATTAATTCTAAATAAGAATTCCAAAAGAACCACTATTTCACAACGGGTGAAAATAAAATACAACAACATACTCAGTATATTCCCAACTGGTTGGGGTCTAAGGGTCAGCTGTACGCAGACCTTACTCTTGTAATTATATAAGGAGATTATTTCCATAGCGACCCAAGGTACATTGCGTCGGGTGAAAATAAAATAAAAAATAAAAACATTTTGAAACTAACTTTATATCAATTATTGTCCCGTGCATCACAATGTACTAGTTAAACAAAATATACACATGATCATATGAGAGTTTACAGTCCATCCTTCTGAAAAAGTTCTTACAGAAAACTCCTCAAATGTAAGTTTAAAACAGAGATGATTTCAATGCAAGATCACCTCCACAGGTGCAAAAATACAACCTTTTGAGGTTCAGTCCAATCACAATAAACAGCAAACAGATACATGGCTTTTCCTTTCACAATTAAATTAGCAGCTTTCCTCTAATGAGACGACCGATATAGCACGGATCAACTAGAAGTCGATATCCTTACACCAAACTTATATAGCTCATATCAGGAAAAAAAAAATCATCCGAAAAGATAAAACACTCGAATTCAGCCAGAAAATTAACCTCCGCTACATTTCATTCAAGGCGAAAAAATATTAACCTTTTGTTCTCATAATCGTGATGCTTCCTTTTCCGCCTTCAGTACGGATTTTGGTTTTCCCAACCACGGGTTTACCAGAGAAGGCCGATGTTGGATAAGAAACAGAAGCGTCATCTTCGTTTGACTTTGATTTAGGCGGATTGTGTATCCTTTGGTTTATGTCCTTAAGAGTCGTGTCACCATGAATGGCACACGGTTTAATGAAGGCGAATGGGTATACAACTGACGAGGCCAGTCTTGGAGGCGTGCGTATGTACGATTTCTTACCTGATTATATGTAACAAGACATGAAGAACCTCAGCGTGTTTAATTTCCAAGTCGAAGAACGGTTTTGTAAAGTGGGGATAAATATGTAACTAAGCTTAGTTCTTGGTCTAGACAATTGTTGGGGTCTTTCATTCTTGAATTTTTGAATTGATAATAATAAAACAGTAACTTTAAAAGTACTTCTAAATCAACCCTTACTCGGCCTGTGATTAGCCTTCACGAGTTGTACCAGCTCAAACGCGTTATTTAGAAGTTTTTTGAAAAAAGAAGAAATAAGATTAACAAACGATTACCTTTGAAAACAACATTTTGATGAGTACGGACGGGATTTTTCTTCACTTCAACAGCGTCAAATTGATGAGGAGGAGAGTTGCAAAGCTCTGCAAGAACAGGAAAAAAAGCACAAGAAAAATAGACCAGTCAATACAGAAAATCTTGCAATAGAAAAACGATGGTATGCAAGTGTTGAAAAACAGAAACATTGTGTAGTTAGTTACCTGTAATGTCAATTTGAACATCCTCAGACGCCCCAGAAGCACTAATATAGCATTCAGACAAAGTGTTAGTCAAAAAATACTAAATTCAAACCTCCTAAAAAAGTTTTTAAAAAAAAAAAACAAAAAATAAATTAATTAAAATATACATTTCCTCAGTGCTAAATTGCATCTCAGCATCATTAAAGCAATCAGCAATCCACCCTTCAGACGAAGGGTCCAGATATTCATCATTAGATGCAGACGTGCCTTCTGCATACAAATACAAGTTTCATCACAATATTGGTCCATAGGTCTAATTAATTTCCATTTTAATTTGGAAACAAAAACCTACAGGACAGCAAACCTGTGAATCCAGCAACCCAATCGGATACTTCGGATAGAGCATCCGCAAGAGATTCCCGTGTCTCCTAAACATTTCAATGGAAACACATTTAGTGGTTAAGCATAAAGTAAAGGATAAGTGCGAATTAGAAGCCAATGAAGTTTGCAAATAGAAGCTAAAAGTTAAATTCTCCAAAGAGAGATCGCTGAATAAGTTTATAAGTGCATTTACTTGTATAAAACTCAAACCAAAAGTAGAACAAAATATCCGTAGCACCTCGAGAACACTTTTTTTTTTTTCATGCCAGAAGCTGATGATATCTTTTATACAGTGATAGAAGAACACACACCCTATCTCGTTCACCAATCACTAAATATAGTTTGTTTCACTATAAAACATAAAGAAAATTGCAAATCTCCTCGATTTACTATCAGAAAGAACACAAGTAACATATATGGCTAAGGCGGTAGATTTTTTAAGCAAACTTCTAAGAATAGATATGCATATCATATGAATGATTATTAGTAAATTACAAGGCATTAGGACAGTACAATACTAAAACAAACATAAGGTTATCTGAACAATATTCTTGCAGTCAGTATATGTGATTAGACTAAAGACATAACAATTTCCGACTGACCAGGATGAGTTAAAAAATCAAACCTCAGATCTTAAAAATGCATCGTCACTGCAAGGAGCGTCAAGAACTTCAGAATCAAACTGCAGCATACGGCGCCTTTTAAATTGAGATGAAGGCTCCTTGTATTGCTCTAACTCTTTCCCAGTAACCTCTGCAGTTTGTTTGTTTAAAACAAAAATAAATAACCCACCAAACCAATAACAAGCAAAACTCAAACGAGCAGCGATTTGTTTAGAGGTAATCATTCGCAGCTTCACAGGAGTTTCGGCTTTTTATGAAAGGCATTTATTATTGCATAGAGCGATGCATTAAGACAGAAATAATTAAAAAAATGCCCACACAATCAAAAGAATCTCAACTGCTTTTTCGAGAAATTAAGAAATATTTTCATGATGCAAGGTCATGTATTCATAGATATAAATGCTAAGCTTATGAAAAACAAGGATCATCAAACATATCACAAGTGCATAGAGCAATGCATTAAGACACAAATAATTTAGAAAATGCCCACACAATCAAAAGAATATCAACTGCTTTTTCAAGACACTGCAAGTAACACACACACACATTTGCGCCTCCGTGCTAGGGCCATCAAATTTACTTCAAGATACAACGGTAATAAAGTATAGCTACACAAATGAAAGACAGCAAAAGAAATTAAAATGCAGTAAAAAAGGGGCATGGACGGTGCAATTAAAGCGCACGTTAGATATTTCCTACCATTGTTGGCAACATGGTAAGCTAAGTCTCCACAAGCCTTAACTGGAGTAGTTTCATCATTGAATGTGTACGATATACCTTCTTCATTTTCACTCACTCCGTTCAACAGGGAATTAGATATTCCTGCTCACCATATCATAAATGCATCAAACTGGAATCCCTCGTTTTAAACCAAATCATAGACAGATAGACGGGCACTACACTTACCAATTGTGGTGTTATCTTCAATGGAGTAACCCTGATTTTCCCAATCCCACACGTCACTATTATGAAAATATAAGGAATTAATTACAACAACATCATGAACATCCTGAACAAGCTCTTTGCATAATGTGACACAATGTACTATACATAACAGATCAATTAGTAAACACTTCTATTTAGATATATAAAATGGCACATATGAAACGAAGATCCAACGCAAAGGTTTAACCATTGAACGAAATCGTCAATAGAAACTCCTAACATAACCCATAATGTTTCACTTTCTGCAGAGACTCAAATGAAATGTTTGGTTCACAAAGATTATTAAAAATACAGAAACCCAGACAAAAATGACCAACAAAAGACCATTAAACTGCACATTATACCAGGTTTCGATGATCATAACAAAAACCCCTCCATTGAAATCGAGCTTAACCAACACAAAAAACAAACAATCCCAATCTCTATAACATCCCAACAAAAATTAATCACAAAATGGGACTGCATTTCAACTACTCTCCTAGACAGAACTAATAAATAAATTCAGCAAAAAAAAAAAAAAAATGCAACAAAATTAAAAAATAAAATTAAAAAAAAAACCATTAAAATTCTATTAGATTTGAGGAGAAACTCACTTGCCATTGTTGTAGTTCATTTTGCTTTTATGGGTCTTCTTCTACCTTCGATTCAGCAACTAAAAATAAACAAAAAAAAAAAAAAA